GATGTTACAAGGTTTCGCACCAGATATCTGGTCTCCAATCAATTCCGAGATACACCGGTCCATAGTGTGCATGTCAAAATGCCCATTTTCAACGTCTAGTGGTTTAATCTGGGAGAGACTGGTGTTGAGATTCCGGAACTCTCTCTGGAACAGCCAAGCATGCCTAGCTACGAAACCGAGCCTGTAGTAATCTGGGTCCGAGGCTCGTAAGTAGGGCTGTGATTTACTGGAAACAAGCTTCGCTTTGTGGTGCAGACGTGTCAATACCTGGAATGTTCTCTTGGGTATTTGAATACGACTGGTTTCCACCTTGGTTAGTAAGTCCTGAAGAATTCCTTGAAAAAAAAATACTCATTTTGATCAAAAACTGAAAGCGACCCTTTGACCCTATCTATTTGATTTATTGAGGTAGGGTTCCTTGATGTTGACATTAGCACGACTACCTTTCGCCAGTGGCGGAGAATGAAGTGTAAACACAAGAGTCGTCATGTCTTCGCTAAGTTGTATGCTACATGGTCGTTAACTCCCATAGCACATAGTTAACTCCCCAAACACACAAGATCATTTTCTTATACTTCTGATTGTATCCGAGTCGTTCTCTTTATGAAACAACCGCTTTTACAAAATCTTCTTTTTGTTTAGGCTTCTGCTTATGCCGCTTATGGTAATAGGGAACTGCCTTTCACCCACCCTCACTGAAATACGTAAATAAACATGTTTATACTTACTCTGATTCGGAACATCGTAAATTCATCTCAAAGCGGAAGAGGTTTGGATTTGCGTTGTTGTGGAATTACTCATTTTTCATGCCGTTTTTTTTTTTTTACGGTGTAACAATTACACACTTGTGCTGTTTTAATTTTTTTGTTCAGAGGACCCTCCCCGACCCTAAATTTGGTCAATTTTGGGGGAAAAAATCGCGAATGTGCCAAGAGCTCAGGGTTTTAAAGAGGGGTTACGAACTTCAAAAAAGGCTCTTGAAATCACCATATTCGGATAGAGGAACCGATACGATCAGACCTAGATTATCGGCTGTACATCGGCTTTATTCGCAGTTCATGCAATATTGTCGTATGGATTCGCAATTTATGTGTCCGGTTGTGTGTGTAAATCACGCTTGGGTGTAAAAAGTTTTGCGGTGTCGGTGTTTCGTCAACTTTTTGTGCAGTGACATGGTGTTTATCGGTACTTTTTGCGGTGATGCAATATTCAGAGCTTCTCGTTATCCCCTATTTAAATTAAAATCTCTGAATCAAAAACTATTTTTGCGATTTCTGACAAGTGCAAGCTGAACTGTGATTAATTTGCGTGGTCTATGTTTACCATAATAGCAAAATTGAATTTTTCTGTGATTAGAACCGGCATTGTCGGCACGAATTCATGTAAGCTTACAGATATACGTCACCGCTGAAATCTTAAATTAAGATAGCAAATCTGTGCTGCTTTAATAAAGCTTAAACGATGACCCACACTACGTAATCACTATCATTACTAACTAGTATCGAAGTCACTGATGCGGAGCCCGAAGGCTTAATGTGAGTATCTCATGTGACGACCTTTTACTCAGGCTAATTAATTTGATTCTTTAAAAATATTTGTAGTTCTTAAAAGTTTGGTTAGCCAATTCTATTATGTTAGATAGATATCATTACTTACCATCGAGTGCCTGAAGACCAAAAATCCCGTCGATATTAAACTTTTTGTACTCCTTTGCGAAGAAGTCCACAACCTTGCCCAGCGAGATCAACGTTCTTCTCAGCAGTTTTTCATGAATTTTATCTCTATGTATTCTATGAAGATTTGTGTGAGAGGAACGCACAGATCGTTCAAAATCGAAAATCAAAAATAGAATTACGATCAGTTGCCGATTTCGTGAAAGCATAAACATGGCTTAAAATTCAAACGAGTTGTTGAAATCTTAAATAAAAGCGGTATTCAGAGAGGAATATAATGTTATGAATTACCCAACACGATTTCGGGAAACATGCTCCGCATGGTGAATTTTTTATGCCAAGCTATTGTTGTTAAATGACGTGTACCTAAATCTGATGGATGACTGCCTGCCGAGACAAGGATTAGCATTTTATTAGCGGGGCATATCCGCATAGCGAAACAATGGGCGATGTGTTTTGTTTGTACAAAGCGTAGTGGAATAATCTGCCCGCCCTATGATGCCGTCAAAAGGTTTCGCTATAACGTGTTGTTTTAAATAACCTATTTTTAGTGTTCATAATTCTTAAACAGCTTCGGAGAATTTCAGTTATCTTTGTTTTTTGTCAGGAGTGACGAGACAGAGAGTGCGTGACCCACGATCACCTTAGCCATGCCCCTCCTCGCTCAAATGTCTTGCGTTATTTAGTTTTCACCAAGTTAAGAATGTTTGATATAATCGCTGTATTTGATATAATCGCTGAACCAGTTATAGTTTTCCAGTTATAGAACAGACAAAAAAATACGTTCGGGAAACTTCTTCCCTCTCCTATTTCCGATAATTTTTGGGTTGTTAGTCGCCCTATATGCCTAGTTTTGAGTTTCGGGAAGGAAACTTCGCACTGTTCCCCTCTTTGTTTTACGTGGGCATGACGGCAGTCAGTTATACGTTTCCTGTCGAGCTCAAAGGGTGGTTTTGGACGGCGTTGCATCGCAGTGGGCCCCGGTTACTCCCAGCGTTCCGCAAGGGAGCCTGTTAGGACCATTATTGTTCACGATCTTTATTAACGATCTCCTGGGTGAAACTGTAGGCGAGGTGAGGGCAGCGTTATACGCTGATGACACCAAGCTGTATAAAAACGTCAGCTCCGTCAGCGATTGCCTGTCTCTGAAGACCACTCTAGCAAACTTGAATGACTGGTCAAAGGGAAATAACATCAACTTCAACACCTCGAAATGCAAAACACTTACTGTGACGCGGAAGAAAACCCCCTTGATTTACGAATACACCCTAAACAACAAACAAAACTTGTGCGAGTGTCTGCGGAAAAAGATCTAGGAGTTACAATTACGTGTACGTTGTCTTAGCACTCTCACATACACACCATCACCGCTAAAGCCAACAAGCTCCCTGGACTCGCTATTCTTTTATAAGAGCTTATTTAGTCATATTCACCTTGATGTACAAAGTTTCACAAACTTTATTTCTCACGGCCGAACTAGACTAAGGAACTCCTCTGATATAAAAACACCAATCTATAAAACGAGCACTTTTCAGGCCTCCTACTTTACTTGCATTGTTAAACTTTATTTATTGCTCCTTCTTCTAGTTCTTCGAGTCCGCTCTCCTTCCAGCTTTTCGTTAAACAAACACTCTTTGATCGTCTGAGAACATCCTTTGACATTGACTGGCCCTGCACGTGGACACTAGTTAGAATTTGCTAGTGCCACAAGCTATAGGTGCAGCTGACGCCCCACAAACTTATATTAATTTAGATTTCTTGTGTTTTACTGTATTTTAGCTACAGGGCGGTGTCTCGTATGGGACGCCAGTCCCGTTTGCACCTGCCCTTTTGGGTTTATTTTTGTCTCTATGTTATATGTTTTTGTAGTATGTACTGTTATAAAACCCGATGAAGTTGTTAAAAAACAAAACAAAACAAAACAAAAAAACATCCATACACCCTCCACCCTCGCCTACGAGAGAAGCTGTTTGCCTGGCTAAGACAAAAAATTAAGCCAATTAAGCCGTAAGTCATGCACTAGCGAAAAGAAAGAGCCAACAACATTAGCTGGAAAGCAGAAAGATATCAATATTTTCAATAGTTGATAGATTTCGTCATGATAATAAAAGAAAAGGACCAGAGGAAGAAGAAAATTTTTTTCACTGTATCGTAAAACGGACGTGTTTGTTTCTAGTTTCTTTTTCCTTGTCCTCAGGGCTTTTTTTTATTCGTATATTCACTATCAGTACTGATAGAATCCTCATTTCCACCGCTATCGCTACTGGAATCAATTTCAGTGTCAACGTCATCATCATTATCATCTTCGTCTTCACAGCAGTCTTTTTCATTTTCACCTCCATGGTAATCGCCCAATGCATCCCAATCTGTCATTATGTTGTATCGTCGTGCGTCGGCAACGTAGCTAGAAAGTTTATTCAGATTAACTCTTGCAAACCCTGTATCGTTTGTAGAACTTCTCACCATTAAATGTTCGGGTCCGGCAGTTTCCCAAACTGAACACTCAATCAAGTCTTCATTATTGTTTACTAAAGATCTTCCTTTCTTGGATATTTCCTGAGGGCAGCTGCGGTACATGACCGGCGTCCACTCAGGGGAAGAGTCGCCATCTGGAACTCCTCTAAGGGAACTTTTCTCTGAAAAAGAGTCTGACTCGAAATTCTCGTGGTTACTCCATGTCTGTTTTCTTTTAGATTTCTGTCCAAATACAGTCTCCAGGACTCTTTCAATTATGAATTGCGCGAGCTCATAATCTTCCCCTCCTTTATCAGCGTTGGAGTCGGCATAATATTCATTTATTATGGCGATGAACATATTTAAGATGATGATAATCGAGCTGGAGACGAAAGTGAAAAAGAAAAGACGTCCTAGTATTGGATTTGTTTCCTTCAGTTCATTCAGTGGGACTGGTTGTCCCAAAAGCATGAGAAACTGAGAGAAAATAGCGTTACGCACCAAGCCGAACATGTCCACATTGGCTCCAAAAGCGATGAACCCTAACAGTGCATGGGCCATTGCTACTATTATAAACACCATGAAAAAGGAAGCTATAGGTTTAAACAATCTACGAAGTGTCCAGGTGAAAACTATAATTTGTGGGTTAAAATAGAAGCATTTCAGAAGACGTAGTGTGGCAATCACGATCGCAACACAGATGGCAACTTCTTCACACTCAAGCAAAAGTAAGACACGATGAAAACTGATTGGAAGAAAAGGGTTTTCTTTCAACGTTTCGAACGTTTTTGTGGCCACCTTAGTCCGCATCCACTGCAGTAACATCGCTGATGACGCGGTGAGTATCTGAAAAATATCCAACAAATTCCACACCGACTTGAAATAAGAACATTTCTGACGGTAGAGTTTGATACATTGGACAACGAATGAGCAAGCAAGCAGAATGCCGAACAACAAAACAAACAGTAGAAACTTGCTATGAGCTTGAGGATTTGTTGCACTCAGAGACAAAATTCCATAGCTCTTGAACGTGCCAGCAAATCCAGAAGGAAGTACTTCCAAGTAGTATGTCATCACTGCAAGAAGGTTACTCGGTGGATTATACAGTGAAAACTCCACCAGCACAGCTCTGGTCTGACGATCGATCCAGTGGTTTTCTTTCAAGTCGTTGATAATCCTTTTAGCTATAAGCTTGTTGTAACCTAAATTAGCTATGTATCCTCCACCACTGTAAACAGCAAAACGACCCCAAGAATCAAAGCCGCCAAACCTTCTGTCTGCATTATATTCCCAATTTTCTGGGCACAACACTGAAGTGCTATTTAGGTCAATCCAAGTTCCTTTTTGCTCCTTTGTGGAGGAATAGGAATCGAAACAAGATGTTACTATGTCTCTAAACAGTTTGTGAACTTCACAGGATTCTGTAAAGAGATAAAAAAAACACTTCTGAGTCTCAGAATGACTTTTTTCATTACTTTACTGTTGGAGCTCATCTTGCATTAAGGTTTTTATTCACGTACGCAAAATGAATTTTACTCCAGTTATTTATGTGTCTTTGAGGTTATCACTCCAGATTAATCTGTCACGACGCCGTAAAAGATGTGACGGTGGAATTTGAAGTTTGACTGGCTACAGGTAATATTTGTATAACGTTGCCGTCGTTATTTGGAGGTTGTTGCTGTCCACAAAAATAAATGAAATAGGTCGAAGGTAAACTTTAGGATGGAAGATTTACACCAGAACTGAGTATTTTTAATTAATGATAGACTTACTTTCCTTGATCCTTAGTTGTCGCAGACGAGGCATACCGACCAGAATCGATCGCTTATTTCCGATGTATTCTGAAACTTTTTCTCTTTCTCCGTTGTACCAATCATCCACAAAAACTTCTGGCACGAAAATGTTCTCGATCCAACCCCAAAACTGAGTAGTATTGGTAATCTGTCAAAAGTAATTTTGCAATAGCTGCATTAACAGAGTGTCCATGATTGTTGGAGAAAAATTGTTTCCCTGCTTTGTTGCTTAATAAAAAAAAACAGCCAATGTAAATAAGGACTCTTGGGAAACTCTGGAGAAATTTTCCTTCTTATTATTAGCTACATGATTCAGCTGAGAACTGATAAATGTCCTATTTCATATTTCATTCTTCCAAATCATGGTCAGTATATTTTCAAAGGTATTTGGAATCAATCAGATTTTTATAGCGAATACTCTTTGCGGGCGGAAAACGAATTATTGACGTATTACAGAGGACCAGCATGCTTCCCTGGCTGGTGAAAATAAACCCTTGTTTCTTTTGTTGTTATAGTCGAAGGGTACGTACCTTATAGCGGCCCATATTATCAAAAAACTGGAAGCTGCGCTCTGTGGCCGCATTTAGTTTGTATCTGTGGTCACTTTTTTCTCCATAACAAACAATCAATAAAAGTGCAAAGAATGTCATTGAAAACACGAGTTCCTTGAGGTAAGCATACATTCTTCTCTCGTTTCTCTTAAACTTTTTTGCACGTTCAACATCCCAGGATGAAAGATTCACAACACTGGTTAGTTCCTTCCCGTCATGTCCGTTCGTCGACTTAGTGTCCATCGTCATCCTTCGACTACAACCACTCCGCGAGGCTACAATGATGGATACGATAAGTATCTTGATAGGCTGGGAGATTATAACATCTCCAGTAAGCGAAAGCACCACCGTTGCTAACCATTGTTTCGACTTCTCTCCTCCCCACATGAGAGAGTAAAACACTGTGAAGAGGGCAGAGGTGATTGCAGTACCTATACAGAGAAACCAACCAATATACACACAAAAATGAGGGAGTGAACAAAATGGCTTTTTCTTGCTTTTCTCCAGATGATACCGCCTTCCTTGTGTATTTATCTTAGGTTCACTTTTACGAAACAAGAACACAATCAGCAGACTTGCAGGCAAAACAATCAAGGCACTTTCCAAAGCAATAATAAGTTGACTCGGAGTCAGTAAAAAAGGTCCAATTTGTATTTTCTTCTCCAATGGGTCCTCTTTTTCATAAAACATTGCAGATGTTACCATTGACAACATTAGAAGGCTCCAACAGCAGGATGCTCGTTGAACTCGAGTAAAGTGATTCCTTGGCTGCTTCTTAATCACTGAAAACCACAAGTGATCGTCAGCGAAACCATTTCTTCGTAGTGCACTGAACGTTCTTTTAAATTCATCGTCCTCTCTAAAGTCATTTGCATAAAATCTCCTGAATGTGTCACCGTCATCTCTTTCTAGTGCAAGCCAGCGGTGACAACTAAAGAGCCATTGCTGACCTGTTTGACAATCCACAGCTAAAATCTCACTGATAAACCAAGATGGGTCCTCGCCAGAAATGTCATGGCCAATCTGCACACAAAAGATCTCACCCAGCGGCATATTATGTCGAAGCAAGAAATTATCAGTGTTGCCTTCAGCAAACAGTTTCCTGTCATATGGGATGTCACATGTCAATTTGATAAAGTCAGTGGTATTTTCAGTCCCATGAAGAGTCATGGATACATTGGCAGTAGTACCACAACTTTTCCATCCACCTGTAGTAATAGATACCTCGTACTTGTAAAAACCGTTTTGATGCTCCAACAAGGGTATCAGAGGACTGTCCTTAAAATAACAGGGAATAAAGGGAAACTTCATCACCTTTCAAAATCAAGTGTCAACCTGAACATTAAACCCCACTGATACTCCTTCTTTTAATTTTCACCCATTTTAATATCCTACCAGGAGTCTTGCCTCTCAAAACCGTATTCTACAAGCGAAAGATTCTATGAGTGATATAGATTACATCTATATCATTCACATGCAAATGTTATTCAGCTTTAAATTTTCAAGCTATTTGCGGAAATTGACCATCTAAATGTATAAGATAAAATTTCAGTTTTATTTTGATCCGATAATTTTTTGATTCCACACCAACCTTTGTCGCATCCACTTTATCAGCCCTGCGTGCTTTTACCAAAACAAGAAAGTAAACCAGAAAGGTAGAACACAGTGTTATCAAGACGAGAAGGTCATCAGGATCCACGTTATCAAATGCCTGCTGGACCCGTTGAAAGTCAATGGTATTTGGTGCCACAAGAATGTCTCCGCCAAATGCAGTTAAGTGATTACAGAGACATTTCAGAGAAGAATGGTTTGATTCTTGGCTCACCTGTAAATCAGTCCATTCATTTATGATTCAATTAAAAGAGCCTAAGCGCGGCTACTGTTAGGCTATTTTCTTTTAAAAAGACTCTTTCAGCTCACCTTCAGCAAATTTTTTACGGAAATTGCAACGCGAATTCCAGTTACGTTAAGATGATTTGGGTCTGAAGGCGATTCAGAGCTTTAGCAAGTATGTGGAGTACTTTATTCTCGGCCAAATAATGAAAACGTTTGCGTTTTAAAATACCCGTGAGGAATTTAAAATCTACTTATGACAATTTAAGACAATATTTCATGTTGCTATAGATATAAACTAGTTGTTTAGTGGTTTAAATCTTTAAGTAACCCAAAGATCTCCGTTAAATTTTGAAACCTACAGATAGCATAAATATGCTGGAGTAACTCATGCAATGTGATTTAGGATGTTTTCCTTTTGCATTTAATGGTTCATTTCATGCTTTCTGTGTATTCTTTCCTCACCTTGCATCCTTTGTTTGTCCATCTTTGTTTAGTCTCAGACCAAAATGCACACCAGATTGTTTCCACTTGTACACTGTAATTAAGTGACCTATTAAAGTCGTACTGAGGAACAAGACTGACATACTCTTTTTGAGGAGCAACTGTGGGTGGAGGATCTTTAAACTTTACGCACTTCTCTCGCGAGGCTCGCTCTGATAGAATGGATCGTCTACTCCTTGACTGTGGCAATTCTCTTCGAGACTCACTAATCTCCAATAAACCAACGTAATATTTACCCGAATGTCTGCACTCAAAGGCGATACTATGAGTACACGCTTTTCCTAATGCACAATCATTGTCCGTGCTGTTTACTCGTCTCTCTTCAGACGAGTAAATCACTCTATCGTAAGATGTCTCAGTCGGCTGTTTAGCAAATTTCACATACACAGTAAGAAAAGAAGCTGTTTTAGTTGTAATGGTCATTTTCACGGTGGTATTGACCTCCCGTACGGTTACCACATGATATTGCATCCTTCCAGGATTTAAGAAATGATCCGAGCGTGTGCTGTTTCCGGGATCATAATTTGATACTGGAATATTAATTTGTATATATGAAGGCAGTTCAGTTGTGTTGAGAGCTTTCCCGGTGTCATCTTTTAGGACAAGGCTGACAACGTTTGATCTTATTCTATTGCTGCTGTTGTCCGTCACGAATGGGTTGAAATGATAGCTGATCATCTGCAAGGTACCGAAAAGGACGAAGAAAAAGTGATAAAGTGGTATATTTGCCATTAGCACAGGGAGCTAGAGGTACAAACTGCAGCCTCTCCCCATTTTGCGTCTACTACGGAAATCTTGATGGTGAGCGAGATAGGATATAAGAAACGTATCTTGCATAATGCAATAAATCCTACTTGTCAATCTGTATGGATTGTTATGAAGGTATGAAGGTTCGCGCTCGCTTTCAAAATTTCGTCTGTCTTGACTTTTTGTGACGTTTTCTTTATGTACATTATATACAAGTAATAACATGATTTCTCTCGCACTTTGGTGTAACTATCACTTACCCTTCCGGCTCATGCAATTTTGTTCTCTTTGAAAAATTTACTCGAGCTTAGTAACACCAAATTGTACCCAAAATCATGATATTATCGATGATTATTTTCCCACTTTATTTGCTGAAATAATTACTAACCTCTATTCCCACTTCAGAGACGTCACCAATCCAACTTTTCAACCCTTCTTCATCTAGATAAGGGAACACAAAACTGGCTTCTCCGTCGCTGAATTCTAAAAGACTCAAGTCACTTGATTCTTTTTTGCCTAGTGTCGTCGATTGAAGTCCATTGCGAATGGTGCTGTGTTCTTCTCCGGGCAACTTGAACGATAGCAATGCGTTGGTAATCACTTCTGTCAGCTTTTGGCATCGGGCCGAAACTGTCTTTCCCATGCTTATCTGAGGAGGAGTTCATATATCATTCCATATTTATTATTGTTTTCTCGTCACCATATTCCCACCAATAGCGCAGCTCCATTTTTTATATATGAACCCACATACAACCCGCAATTCCCCCAATCGCTGTTAAACTCTTTACGGTGATCAATTTACGTTTTCAATTCAGTTGATAATACTAAATTACCCTGTTAAACTCTCCCACCGACGTAGCATCACAGTTTCTTCAGAAACTTACCTCTTTTATCATTCCATATCATTCGGAGGGGAACGTGTTATGAAGGAGAGGAGGGATAACTTGAACGAAGAGTGGTCATGTGTCCAAAAATGCCTTTGGGAGGAATTGCCCGTGGGTCTCGAGGATAAAAACGATTTCTTTGACTTGAAGGTAAGGGGTTGGGATTTCTCTATTGTTCTTCGTGCTTTCCTAAGATTGATATTATCTTAATGGTTGCATGGCGGAGGAGAGTGGTTAAATTTTGACTTCCTTTACCTTTGGGCAAGGTGAAAGCCTGATGCGTGATTACACTGTACCTTTTACATTATTTTATTTCTGGTACAGTTCTTATAAAGCTTTTTTTTGTCCATATTTGCATTTCACAATTTTTTTCCCAGACTCCTCTTTGCGATCAATCTGGTAAGATTAAAATCTTGTCCGCATGAATCTAAAGTTCACTGACATAAAAAACACATCTTAGAAGTACTTGTTTTGTTTCCTCTACTGAAAATGTCGACTTCATTTCATAGGGGAATTGCCTTTACTGTGGTCCTTAATTAAGGTGTCGAGAGACATGCTATTTAAGTTATACCTCTTCGTCTTCATCAAAGTTAGCAGACAGATTAGCTGTGAGAAGTCTGCTGGAGCTGGAATCCATGATATTTGTAATACAAGACAGTAGCAATCTATATCCCTCTCGAACATGGCGAGTTTCAGAATTGCGTCCCTGTGCAGTTTGGGTTGAAATCCGTTTGGTTAAATCCTCTAGTTTGTCCAATAAAGTGCTCTGCAACAAAACATATGATTTAACACCAATGAATATAGTTTGAGTTTGTGCGTCAGACATCTTCCCCGTGCAAACTTGTTTATGTTAAAAATATCAGCTAGTTTGTATTTCAATTATGTCTTAAAGCATTTCAAACTCCTTTGATACAAAACGATTATAGATCAGAAAGTTAAAAAGGTGTTTTGTCATGAAGGGAATATGTAATGAGTTCAGTATCTTACCGTTGCATTGTGTGAGACAAGGGCGTCACCCTTTGTAGCCTTGTTCAGAATAGCAGCAACCTGGACTAACCACTCCAGTCTGTCAGTCCGCATTTTGCATATCTTGGAAATAATGTGGTTTTTCATCTGCAGCAGGGATTTGAATTATATATCACACAAGGGCTCACATAAAACAACCATGCGATACTTTTGACCTCAACCCATAAAAACAGAATGGATCCTACCATAAACAAACGCGCTCGTGTGTCGTTTATCACGACTGATATGCATAATGGAGATTCTGGAACTAACTCAAAAAGGATATCCTCTTTATAGCAGATAAATCTTATCAAAATGCTGCAATCTTAATTAGTTGTGCTTTTCTTTCATGCCGTTGGAAACTATTGCGATTTATTTCGTTAATCCGTGGAGATATTAATAGGTGTGCGGCCAATGCAAGAAGCCACAGGTTGCCGCTATAAGCACCGACAAGCACAATCTTATAATATCTGTTTTAACTATTTCTCCATAACCACATATGTCATATTTGGTCTGCTGAACTCACTTGAAGTAATCGCTCGTTGGCTTGCTCTGAGACCATTTTGAGTGAGAAGAGAAGTGTGCCTGCTTCTTGTATTGCCATATTAACTTCTCCCAGAGCAAAATAGTTATCCATAACTGAAATTTTCTGGTGCAGGTCTTGATAATCTACTTCTTCCTTTGACAACGAATATAACTGATTTAGCTGCAAAAAAAGGAAAAGAAAACAAAGAAAAACAAAGAATTGAGTTTCTATATTTGAGCAGACTTGCGATGGGACTAAGTATTTATTTAGTAAAAGAGCAAGTATGATGTTCACATGTAATTTATCCTTTACAAATGCGTTAATTTTTAATTGAGATGTTTAACTGTTGCTGAAGTTCTTCACAAGGCAAGGGAGTTTTTTTTTGTCTGCGATGTAAGTTAGAGCCGGTTGCAAACCTGGTGCTAAGAATGTGTGGAACTTGGGCAGACATGAATCAGAAAAAATATCAGGGTGCATCATAAGCAAGATTCAAACAGGGAAACTATAGCTTTTATCACTACAATGGTAGTGATAAAACGTAGCTTGGGTTTTTGATTTGGCAGTAAGAACTAACAGGATCATTAATAAAACGCTTAAAACTAATTTTTAGATGTCAAAGGATGAATACCTTGATCGAGAATTTTGTTGTATACGCTGCTCCCTCGACGTTAACTATTGCTACTTTAAAACGAATGTCGTCCTTATATGAAGGTGGTATGTAAACAATACTGTTGGGCCAAACTCCATAAGACAGCATATCGAGTTCTCCATCTTCTAACTCTTGGATGGATTCATAGCTGAGAGGCAGGTTTCCATCTTTCCAGCCTTGACAGGTTATCTTTACCCAAGATCCTACATCTTTCTTATCCAACTGTGTGCCTTTACATTTTCCTCCTGATGGAACCACCAAGGTGTAAAATTGGTATGCCGCCCAACCAAATGATCCGTTCGCAGATTTCACGTCTACCTTGACTTTGTAGGAGGAGCCGGTTGCAAGCATTTGTTCTTTGATAACAAGGTTTTTCGAATCCACTTTTGTACTCAGGAGAGATTGAAAGTCAGTCTGGGAAGACCATTTGGGATGAGAAGCGTTTCCAGAATTTCTAAACAGGCTCCAGCTATATTTAAAGGCAACAGGACAACGTTTTGAATTGCAATCAGTTCTTAGGGAGATACGAGATGATGCACTGGCTGGTGAGTCACAGTTCATGGTGCACCTAGGCAAAGAAAAAAAATTAAGATACTTGTCCATCAAATCCCCATTATTCTTACTTCAATCTGGTAGTTGAGTAAAGATGGTCCCTTATTGCGGTGAAACATGTTTACCATTGTTAAGTTTGTAAGAACTACGATTTAGGTACAAAACCACGCCACTCTTTTTTAAATAATTGGTTCTGCCTTCTTCCATATCTATCATCAGACCAAGAGATACGATTAAGCCTTTTTCGGACCGCGGGGGGGAGGGGGGAATTATCCCTATTTCTATAAAGCAAATATTACGAATTATTTTTCCCGAGTGAGGGATGGTATACCATAAATTATTAAATTTTCAACTTCTGTTTGGTTCACTCAGATCCGGCTATCAGCTCGTATTTTTGAGCTTATATGGAAATACACTGCGCCAACCGTTGCGTTGCTAAAAAAAAGGTCCAAATATCCAAACGTTAAAGATTTAATGAAAATTAATACAAAAAAATTATTTCATTGTAGGATACGAGATTGGTTATAGCCAACTCGGTGCTACGCGCCTAATTGGTTATTTACCATCTCATATTTAACACGTGCCCACGGAATAATTTTTAAATGTCTTGTATTAACTTTTATCTGCGCAATGAAGATTGGGAAGGAAGTTGATCTGATTTCAGTTAGTACCCAGGCCAACCTTACTCTTTTACTCCGCATTTACCCTATATCCTTATTCTGTAATTACACAGTACGAATTTCGAGTGCATCTGTGCTGTGAAAATGATCAATCTGCACTATATTGAGATGAATCGTATTTGCAGGTAACCATATGTACGTCATGTCTAAGTTCGTTTACAAAGTAGTTCTAAATACACAACCATTCCAAATAGGCCCTGGGTGGGGATCAGTAGAATTAAAAATAATTAGTGAAGTTTGTTCTGAGCATTAAGTTTAGGAAAGAAGACTGCTCTGGTCTTGAATTGTAAGGATTCCAACCGGGCTTCTTTAACCATCAACGACTTTGTATCCGCATATACACTCTACTTACATAATACGAATCTCGAGTAAGTCTTCGTTATGAACATGAACAATCTGTGTGGCACTTGCTGTGCGGTTATCTTTGGTTACAGTCAGAACCACATAGTATGTTTGGTTGTTTATAAAGTTTTTGGCATCTAGGGTAACTTTTGGTTCCTCTATTCCTTCAGGAAAGACTTCATTATCTGACAACTTAAAAAGAGTTCCAACACCAACCGCGGCGACAAGTTTATTGACTATGCTGTACGAGCCTGAAGAAGTGACGTCTGTATAGCAAGACCACTCAAATTTCACACCTTGGAAAGTTTCATCGCTAGAGTCGCTGTCATAAGAAGAACTGGCATCCAAAGCAATTGGTCTCTGTTTTGATCGGATGATTTCAGTTCCTCCTGCAATGGTGACTACCAGAGGTGCCTTCTCAACCTCGATGAAAGCAAAGTCTCGAGCAGTCAGTGAAGACTCATTTACTCCTTGCAGCTCAAATGTTACCAGTTTAAGTCCTGTCGACAGCAATTTTGGACTTATGTTCAGTTCAAGAGTGTCGTTGACGATCAACTCTGTCCGAGTGTCGTTCATGTCAAGAGTGTCGTTTAAGATCACCTCTGTCCGATTATGAACAGAAGTGCGAAAAGGCGGAAGAAAAAGTTCGCTAATTTTCCAGCAAAACGAAACCTTTTTAGGAGGAAATCTCTTGTTCTTGATATTTAAAGACGCGACCAACATTCTCGTCTGGTCACGTCTAAACTTCATTGGTGTGCTTGGCTGCGTGTTTGTGTCATGGATAAAAACCTCCACTGAGTCAATTGAATTTCCCGAATTGCCTAAAATGAACAGAAAGAGAAGTTATCATTGAAATTCAAAACTACGCCTGAAGTCTTACCGCAACAAGCAGAAGAGACGCCATTCACGCCTAGCAGACATTTTGTTTTACAACAGAATCATTAATTCATTAAACGAACTCTTTTTACTTCTCTAGAAAAAGTGATTTTATTATATGGCAAGGTTGTCTTGAGGTAGATCCAAGCGTTCTGATGAGTTCATACATGGTCCGTATTTTGCCAAATATGACTGTTTCCGTGGAAACGTTCATAAGCCGCGTAAATTTGTTCGTAAACGCCAGAAAACTCAAAATAAATATGTGTGCTCTGAGTGCCATTTTAGTAATTTCTGAGAAAGTCCCTTTGAGCAGTATCCTCACATAATCGAAGTGACCGTGAGTTAATGAGTAGCAAATAGTGAGAAGTATCTTATGTGGAACAAAATTCCTTATCTGTTTGATGGCGCTTGTGCCAATTATACGCTTATACAATTATATTTATTCAATTTTCATGTATTACTTTCCGTCTGATCTCTGCACGGATCAACTGCTGGACGTCCAGGGTAATAGTATTTACACCAGCATCCAAGACAGACATTGGGTGATATTTCGATGCATACGGAATGTTCTGGACAAGCTGCAATGACATACAAACAATTCATTAATACTGTGGCGTTCATAAGAAAGCAAGTAGGCATTTAAAGCAAGATTGAACTGCGGAGTTCATAAATCTCAAATTTCCTTTAGACTGACACAAAATATCCGAGAAGCTAAAGGTTTGAGAAGTTTGATAAGATTCTCGAGGTTCCAAATAGAGGGAGTGTATTCCAAGCAAACCAAGACCACAAAACAATCGCAGAAGATCGTGTTTTCCATTTTTTGACAAAATAATGGAGGAAAAATCAAATATCTGAATGCGTTACTAGGAACCTGATAAAGTACCTTTTGATTTCTAGATCGAAAGAACAACACTACTTCTCAATTCAGGTCAAAATCATTGGCATCGGTAGATTTACATGTATTAATGCTTAAGATCAGAAATAGTGATGGCCGCCTTATGTGGACCACACTGATAAACATCTCTTTTGGAAGGTGGGAATTGCCTCTTTTTGTTTTTCTAAAACAAGAACAATAACAAGTGTAGGATCCGATCACGTTATGGCAAACAACATATCTATGGCAATCATGGTGTCCAATTGAACACTCGTCTAGATCTGTCGTTGAGAAATAAGTTTTTCATCATTTGACTATGCGGTCGCGTCATGAAAGTAGAACTGGGACAATGGGAGCAAACATCTCATAGATTGCCAGTTGATATAAACGGCAGTAAACACTTGCCTATAAAAATTGGCTCCTCGTCTGTCTACATATATCATAAAGTGAAAATTCATTACATTATCAGAAAAGGAAACTAATAGCGAATTGCAAAGGCAAGCAAATTTGACGCCTATTTTTTTGATGATTTATTTCTTTTTCGATATATTTATTCGTTTTACAGTTGGATGTTTTTAAATGTAATCTAATTTTAGTGCCACATGTTTTTTCTTAGCGTTAGTCAACCACCAAGTCCTCAAACTTACCACTGCATGACTTTCCATCACCGTTGTAACCCTCATTACAATCACATTTGAAAGAACCATTAGTATTGATGCAAGTCGCAAGTAGATCACAATCATGGCTGTTATCTGAGCACTCGTCAATATCTGCCACAATAAAAATTAGTGAACTTGAAAATAAATGGGGTGTCATGAGCAATGATATAAACGAGATGGTTTCTCTAATAATATAAGTAATGAATACAACTCATAGAAAGTGATAGTAACACTCCCAAAAACGTTTTTTTTAGGGCACTTCCGGCGTCCTCTGCCCCTTTGAATGTTTTTCTGCAAAATGGCATAGAAACATTGACAATTAACGACAATGGAAGGGGGAGAGCAGTAAAAGAACATTAAAGACGTTGTTCTGGGTAAGTGTCCCAACGAATAATGTTAGGAGGTGAAGCTCGAATTAGAAGGTGACGATGTATTTCTTTCTGCACTCAATAGGTATTACCATAGTCCCGGAGGCGACGATTGTAAAGCTCGGATTCCGCAAAAGAAGCAATGTATTATCTTCAAGGATCTTTTAGGAGGCCAGAATGAAGAATATAAACACCTCAAGACGAATAACCTACTACCAATTAAGATTTTTTACAAATATTATGGAAAATTTAAACGCTAACGAAATTGAGAGCACAAATTCTCAAAGGCGAAAGAGCATCGCGGCAAGCAACCTAAAAGAAAGTGAAAAAGGAGCTCCTTACAACTCCTTCACCGGGCGCTCCACCGCGCCCGACGGAAGGCACCAAGATTCTCGAAATGTCTTTTGCTGCTTTCTTAATTACTCGGTTTTCCAGTACACAATTTTACTTACATCCAAGTTTATTTCATTCTGTGTAACTCTGGTTAACTCTTAGGTCCTCACACTTTGATTCTCACTGGATACTTCTTCTTTAACTGCGGAATTCTAACTCTACTATTCTGCACACTGTCCACATTCTTCTAATCTTCTCTTCTCTATTTTCTCTATTGTCTTTTTTCTCTTCTCCCCACCCTCCTCTGAGTAAACTCGAAAGAATATACTTATATATTCACTACTGACAGATATGGGTAGGCATGCCAGCTGTCTGAGCTTGGGATATCAAACATTTTTTTGTTAGAACGCTAGCTAGAGCCAAACAATTTCTCGAGACTTTGGATCTGAACAACAAAGTACTTAATCATAATGCTTTCGATCAACTAAGTCAACTTCTGACTGCGCTAGTCAAGACAAGAACTTTCGTGTAGGTTCAAAGCAAGATCAGTGAACAGAATTAATGACATTCATCGTATTGTAAGTTTTCCTATACGTAAAGCAATGAACAATAAATACATGTATTACAACACATCCTTAGCTACCGAAGTTAAGATTAACACACAGTGGATGGTAAGGTCTGTTTCTTGGTATGACCAAGAGATTATAAACTCTTGGTAAAACGTTGACAATATTTTTGTGGCTTACGGGAAAAAAAATGTTTTCCCTGTTTTGTTGCGATTCAAATTTAGTCCTATACTCTTCCATAATGTTAGATTAATTCTTATATTAGAACAATCCAAGCAAACACATTTTTCTCCTAGTGAGACCTAAGATTAAGATTCTAAGGTCCATGTATAAGGGTAAACCTTAGTTTCACTTTTTTCCAAGGTTACCATAAGGTAGAGGTGCTCAACAGTTCTCCACGGAAATATTTGACAACTATTTTTTTAACTCATTCATTTATTTATTTATTTAGTCATTTGCCTCGTTTTTGTCACTTCTTCCATGATTTGCTAATGTCATTTTGTTTTATATTAACTTTTCCAGTGTTACTCGGCAGATAAAAAATAATAAGTCTCACCGCTACATGACTTTCCATCACCAGTGTAACCCTCCTTGCAGACACATCTATAAGAACCTTTAGTATTGGTGCAAGAAGCATTTAAGTGGCAGTTATGTGTCTTCCCGGAGCATTCGTTGATATCTGTTCAGATAAAAATGATGAATCGAAGATTCAAGTTCAAATGATAAAAGGTTGAGCAGGTGATAATAATAAAATTCATAGTTTTGGAATCCTGTCTTTTTACTGACATGAAGCAGTGAACCATACACATGACGATACATTTATGACTACTGAAATTTATATTAAAACAAACCGGTTGGTGTACGCAAGAGGTCTACTTCCTTAGCATAACTTTGACAATATTTACGTTTTATAAAAATACGCCTTTTATGTTCTCTTGTTACGATTAAAAAATTAGTCGCATACTGAACAACAAAAAAAAAAGGTGGGAGAAGTGACAATATTTGCCAACAATTTGTTCAGCCATACATTCATTTATTAATTGCTCTTTTGTTTTATTCCTTGTTTCAGTTAATTCTTTACTTGTTTGAGTAAAGTTATGTTCTTTTCCCAGTTTATCCACCGATTAAAGTCGTGAGTCTTACCGCTGCATGACTTTCCATCACCGGTGTAACCCTCCTTGCAAACACATTCAAAAGAACCGTTGGTATTGGTGCAATTTGCTTTTAAGTTACAGTTGTGGGTCTTCGTTGCACACTCGTCGATGTCTGTCAGGATAAAGATGATCAATTGAACATTTACGGTGATTAAGGTAGGGCGAGAGGTTTGAGTAACAAGTTTAATACGTTCAAGTTTTGAGAAATGTCTAAAAAATTTCTTATTTAATAAAAAGAACTCAGTTTCAGTTAACACACTCACCCCTACACGGATTTCCTTCATAACCATCTTGACAACACTGTACGGAAGTATCAGTAACTCGACATGCATCATTTTCCCCTGAAAATATACTTATCAGTTTTCGGGTAATATTTTGGCGAATTTTTCTTCAACAGTCATGTTCCGTCAGGAGGATACAGTATAGCGTCCCCGGCCCCCCGTTACTGCAAGATTCCCACACTTGCAAACACGAATCCCCATGGGGAAGTTCTAGAAATTCCAAGCAATACGAGTCCAAGTCTAACACAAGTTAAGCCCAGTTACATTAACTATAATATCATATTATTATCAATTTACCGCCGCCTGGTTAGCTCTTGTGGATGAGCGCCGGACTACTGTGCGGAAAGTTGGGGTTCAAGACCCAGATCAGACCCACACTCAGGGTCTTAAAATAACTGAGGAGAATGTGCTGCCTTTGCTATGATATCTGCAAGCGGTTAGACATTCTAGTCTTCTCGGATAAGAACGAAAAGCCGCAGGCTGCGTCATCTGCATTTTCTCGGTACTGGGACGTTAAAGAACCTACCCACTTATTGCAAAGAGTAGGGACGGGGGTTCCCGGTGTTGTGGTCTGCCCTGGAAGAACCTTTACGAACCTGACCGAATCCGAGCATATAAGCTTTGTAGAGAGGGAATGCTCGTAGTATGGTAAATATTGTAAATATGTAAATCAGTGCTTGGAGTGGTACCATCTTTCACTTTGAACGATTTTTATATAAAATGATTTGAAGCCGAAAAACGTTGTTTTGATCTATTTGGTGATTGTATGACAGCATTTTTAAGGCTTCAAGAATACCACTTTATTTTCCTTCGTAGAATGAACTAGTCGAAAACTTGACAGTCTTTTTGTTGGAGCATGTCACTCATCAGTACTCTTATCGATTTTAATGGACCAACACTGGATTATGAACTTGCCTTTTTTGGCGCCGTACACCTCCACTCTTAGACTGTCCCAAACATCATTCGCTGTTGGATGGAAGCGAATGTATCTTGCAACCACTGGTGTTGACAGCTTATGTCGGTCCACACCGTGATTTTTACCAACTCTCCGAAATTCCTAAGAAAAATAATGAAAGAAAGAACACATCTCTTTTTGAAATAAGCAAACTCGTACATATTGAGAATAATTTGAGGTATTACAATTGCCCAGTCATATTTTTTATGTCTTTTTTCGGAGATAATCTGGATAATTTTCTGATACAATTTTCTAATATGTTACTGATTTTGAACTCCGAATTTCTTTCAGAATCAGTTTCGTCTTCTTATATTAGCTACTCTAGAAAGGTTGAGCTTATTTTGATTGAGAGGTATTAGGGTAACCAAAGTTATGACAACAAAAGCACACAGCAAAGGAAAATATCATCACTTACCTTTTCAATGGGAGTTCAAAGTAAAAAAGGGAGTCCGCCTTAATCGAGAAAAAAATGTGTTCGGTCAACTCCGGATTGGTTACAATTTTGCATCTTAATGGTGTGGCGGTGGAACGAGTTTTCCAGAGCAGTCATAGAGGGAGGGAAAGCCGAATTACTTTTGACACTCAAACTGATCAAATAATAATTCAACTTACCACATCCACGCCATTTCCATCCTTGTACGTTTTCCGATTGTTATCACCGGAAGAGTAAAGAAGCTTGAAAGCTGTCGTCCATTCTTTATCATAATTGCCTCCCTGGGTAGCAACAGCACACACTTGAAACTCTTTACCAAGATCAACCTGAAGCCAGTCTGTTTTTTTATTGTTCTTTGGAAACCAACCGTAACCTGACTCGTTAAAAAGTCGTCCATACTTCGCAGAGTGTTCTTTTTTTTTATAATGGGATGAAGCTGTCATCTGATTGTCAGGGATGACGAAGGGACTGGGGACACCAACTGGGCAATAAAAGCATTCTTCGAGGATTTCTGTACCAAATTGTTGTTATCAGGTTATCAATAAATAAAATTTATTATTTCGTATTTCATAACGTTAATTTTTTGGTAATTTATTTAATCATTGGAAAATAGGATTCTTTAAAGTGAGCATCAACACTTACAATTTGGTTCACTGTTTGATTCCCGAATCTTTAAGAGCCTTAAGCATTTTCGTGATTGGTAATCAAAACTTATTATCTAGTAACTGAAAATACAAAACGAAGTCATAAAAAATTAAAGAAATTGATCACAAACAAGCGCAGTTTAGAAGTGACCGCTTTAATGGGTAATTAGTTTTTCCTCTCGTTCATATCAGTACACATGTAACTCTTTTAGGTTTCTTTCACTCGTTTAGCTTCATCTATTTCCTTACGTTACCAGTTTAAATTAGTTTATTTCAATCGTTTATTCTCGTTCTTTGACCTTTCTCTACTTTGTCTTTCGTCCATGTTACGTTTTGATAGATTAAAAAATGTATATTTTCTACCCCTTCAATTCTCTTTTCCTTTGCTTTTCGTTATGTGATTCTCTGGAACGTAGGCAAGCTTACAAACCCTATAAGCTGATATGATAATGTTACTCTGAAGCCTAAAGAAAAAATGCCTACTTTGACCAAATAAATACACACCTGTGCAAAGTCGTAGAGAACATTCTGTCAAATCTGGTGGTTTATAAACAAAAAACGAGCCACAATTCCGAATTGAAATTTTATAAGAGCTAAAATGACATTCATTGTCATTATAGCGATAGCAAAGTTGTCGTTTCACAACCCCTTCAGCAACAGCAGGATGGGCACCACGGATCCAACCTGGAGCATTTGTTCCACAGCGGTATGCCTGTGGCGGGTTGTTAGGAATGGCTGTTCCTCCGCAGCCAGTAAAGCGAACCCAACTTTCCGAAGTAAGAATTCCTTTGTCACAGAGTGCATTTTTACTCTCTATTTTATTGGACACAGATCGGGTTTGGTCGTTTATGGTTTTGTAATAGGTACATTCTGAAAGGAAGAGACACATTCATTTTACATCGACAACATAAAACCGCCGATTTCAACAAGTGAAAGACATTGTTTGGTATGATTATCATTTCGTCGATCCATCCTCCCATATTTTTCTTCTTGTATGTCTGTTTGCCTCTATGTCTATCCGTGCGCCTGCTTGTTTATTTGCTAAATAGTCAGCCATTTTGTCAGAGTGATTGACTGGCTCTCTCTCAATATGTATCTTTTCATTACAGTTTTCATCTTAACCAGTGAAATTTTTTGGTACATTTTCAAGGTCAGATTATTATTTTTTTCTCGGATAATTGTTTGGAGTAAATTGTGTTTAGTTGTCCCATTGACAGTATAAGACCGATAATCATTGTATTATAAGATACCGTTGAAACTACTCTCTAAAACAAATATTTCATCATTACTCTCTTCCTCATTAGAAGAGTTTTTCGGATTGTATTTGAGGGTCAAAGAACGCTGGACAGGTGATTGCTGCAGTCCAGTTTTTATGTGGTCTAACATCAAGCGAGATGCCCCACATGTTTCGAAGGGTAGAGAGAAGTGGTTTAATTCATAACTTCCTATGCAGTAAGTGACACAGTTCTCTATTGCGTATAGTTACTAAATGCGATTTCTTCCGTAGCGGCTCAGCGGGCAAGTCCCAGTCCTTTTGTTTCGTTTGAATTCATACGTAATATTTTTGATGGTTTTATTTCCAAAGTGTAAATTTCAACTTCACAAATTTACTGCATTGCATTCATGTTAAGAACGGTCTTAATAGTGCCTTAAATATAAGATGCTATTTCATTCTTGAGATGTTTTCCTTTCTTCCAAGTAGTCTTTGTTAGAGGTTTGATTTCAGTTTCATAACACTCGAAATGTGTTGATTGTTTGTTTAAGCATAAAGTACAGAATAATATCCTTCTTACCATCCGACGCAGCTCCAGTTCCTAACATTAGAACGAGAAAAGTCCATTTCGTCGTCAGCAAAGACATGAAAATCTGTTGCAAGTAGTTTACAAAGGTTAAAAGATAATAATGCCTTAGTATTGCCACTAGGAAATAGTTTTCTTACATATTGAGACGTAATTATGCTGCCCTTAAACTTATCAAGCAAGGATTGGAAACTGGCCGATTAGTTACGCAGAAAATACAGAAAAAGCACTCTATGTTTTAAATCTGCTCACATCATCCTTCTAAGAAACAATTACCTCAAATTGTTTCAGATGCATTTGCAATTATTTCGTTTTGCTAGCGAAAAAACTCGGTATAATTTCCTTTATAGAACTTAATTTAAGTTTGACAGGTTTCCAAAAGTTGTGATAAAAATGAACTATAATGTGCTATGAAGGCAATGCAGATATTTAGAAATGATAACATCTGGGAAAATGAAATGACCTACTTACCATTGGATTGAGTGGCAAGAATATTCTAATTTTTCTGGGGAACATTGCTTCCTCTCGCCACTTTTCGTTGACCTTTTTCCATTTAGTTTACCTCGACTCTTTCCATTGTAAAAATCTCTCTCAAACACACTCTAGTCAATAATTTATTGGCAAGCTTTTAAATCATTTATGCTGAGGTCCTTTATAATGTCTTAAGAAATTAAGAGACACCCAAAACTTAAAGTCAATACCGTGGCATTGGACCAATAGGTCTAATAAACAATCTTTTTTGCCTGCCGACTGGAAACCAAACATTAATCTAGACAATGTATTGAAGCCCTCTACGTTGTTTTCGTTATTTTCTTGTGCTTAATTGAAATAACCTTCCTGCCACTATTTAGCTCGGCTGCTTTCAACAAAAGTATCAGGTACAAAAACCACGAAAAGAGCCTCAAGAACGAATTCAAGTTCTATATTTGAAGACTGTAGGTTGCTGATTACCATGAAACCAGAGAAAAGTCACATTTTCCTTGTACTACGATGAATTGTGAAATATCAAACAATTCGAAAAACACTATATGAGAAAAATTACTTCCACTTGCATAAATAATTGATCGAACACATTACCAGTCTAATCAAATGGAAAACTTTTCTTTGTTACGTTAACGGTCAAGCTTGGCAACATTTTGAGGTTCGCTTATTTGTTGACTTTTCAGACCGTGCAAAAAGATTGCTCTGAGTTGTATAAAGGGCGGGTAACGCTATCCGACGGATAATTCGCTATCCGGCGGATGTGATAGCTAAACTTTATTCACCGGATAGAGTTTTATCCATTGGATAGCGTTATCCAATCTTCGAACAACTGGGGTCTGATTGTTACAGATCATTTTCCTTTGTGTTACTCACTGATATTAGAAACTATTTAGAAATGCTTCCCAAAAAAGGATTATTCACTTTTGTTTCATCTTAAAGCAATATTCTGAATAATAGTCCTCGAAAAACATATGACAATAGCAGTTCGCGTGAAAATTAACCAGCCGTCGTTACTAACTGATTAAGTATTGCGTAAAAGAAAGAAAAAAGTAGGGGGTTTGCCGAACTTTTTTTTTTGTGAACAACATAATCAAGCCATCTGTTAATTTACACACTTGATTTAATTAGAGTTCCCACTTTTGAAATAGTCAATCTTTACTCACACTGTGAAAGCCAGATGTGTTGACCAAATGTGTGTACATTAGCCTACTCAAAATGAATTTTTTGTCAACATAACACATCGTAGATTTTTCTGGTACGTTTGGGCACCTGCATTAGCATAGAAATATTAAATAACTTTTTCACTCTTCCTTAAAAAGTGGGACTGAGGATCATGCATCATAGAAGAATTAAAGTTATAATGTCTTTGATTTCTAAATGACTTTTAAAATTTGACATACATAACTGAACTTTGAAAAATATCGATGTGGACTAGGGATATGGTGGACGGCGAACGGCAAAAAATGAAATTGCAATTCAAATTAATAAATAGGCAAGTAAAATACTTCAAATTTTCGTATGGAAACTTGTTACCGCTGGTGTCTCATAGGGATCTTCCATTGAGAAAACCTTTTTTTTTTATGAACGATGCGAACTGCTCTGTGTCTGCCACATAGCTGCGTCTCTATGCTGACAATGCAACTACTAATCTTGCTGATGACTTGCCCATCATATTTGAGTAATTAATCAACATTGGCCTTCAGAAGGAAACGAACTAGCTTGCCCTTAGATTTTCGACAGCAAGTACTCGTAAGACACAAGCCCATATCGTCGCACCTTTAAGGTACAATCATGAACTTCGCCTCAATGGTGCTCCTATCCTCATCACTAAATGATTGGAGTTTATGTGTGTAACGGTCGACTCCAAATTTTCATTACGGGTTAATGTATCGATCGAGCCTTAGGAGACATCTGCTAGAACCGCCGCCCTGAGGAGAATGAGAGGCCAATTTTTAACCCTATCAGGATTATTGCGGTCCTCCTTTTCTCGGAATGAATGACACCCAAATTGCAAAGCCTGAAGATTCTAAGTATTACAGCATAAGATAAATCCTTGGGTATCATTGTTGAATTAATTATGAAAATTCCGGAGCAACTAAAAGATATTAGAGTCGAGTTTTTATTGGGCGGTCACCCACGGGAAATGGCGGAGTGACCGCTTCATGACAGGAAGGATAATGCATGCACTGTAAGTACCTCCCGTTGTTTCATACAAAGCCTAAGAAAAGTTTTCTAAGGCTTTATATGGGACAACGGGAGGTACTTACAGTCCACGCGTTTTCCGTCCTGTCATGATACAGTTTAACCGCTTATAACGGGTTCCACAGAACAGGAGTATTTAAAAAAAATGGTAAAAATTGCCAAACCAGTCCATAATTGATCACTTAATGTATGAAAAAACTCACTCGAAATACCACTAACGTATGGTAAAAATGGATTGGATCATATTTGAAAGACTAATGGTAATTCTATTTGAATGCATGTTTCTTACTTTAAGTGACCGTTCAATAAAGGTGACAGACAATACAAAAAGGCCGTTGGGGTGACCGCGTTCGCTTAACAGAGGTAAAAATTACAGTAATCAAGAGAAAACAATTTCAAGACTTTAACAACTAAACGCCTAATACAGGGTGACCGCTAAATACGGTACCGCTTAATACAGGTTCGACCGTATCAAATAACTGATCCACAATATTTGCAAGACTTCCTCATCAACACAATAGTAGTTGGTTGCCACCTTAAGGGATCTGAAACCAAAGTTAGCCCCGAGAATCCCGACTCAAAATGGCATCCTAGTATCATTTGCTCATCCTTGGAATAATTCGCCCTCGTCTACCCGTGATGTCTCAAATTTATATGTTTTAATAATATTTATTGAATGCTTGACTTAAAGCCTTTATCTTTTGCCAGACTACAAGGATACATTTCGCTCAAAATGTATGCAATACATACGTGTTAAATTGCAGTTGTGCAGAATTTATTCCAAATTTCTTACTTTTTTCATTCGGTCATTTTTTTACCTATTTACTGATTTAGTTGACATCATCCACTGTAATTTTCATGTGCACATTATCCATTTATGCAAGTGCTTTTTATGCCTCGCACAATAAACAATTGATTGATTGAATAAGTAAGTTGGTCGTTGATATGATTAAAGAACAGAAAGACATCACTGTATCTCAAGACGGTCAAGTTTGCTTCTTGACGCTTTTTGCTTGGGATCTTTCTTATCCATATTTTCACTGGCACCGTTAATCTTCATCGTCTTCGTCAAAGTCGTCGTCGTCGTCACCGTTAACTTTTCTGTCTTCGCCGTCGTCGTCGTCACTGTTGCCATCGTAATCATCATTGACTTCGCCTTCGTCATCATCATCGACACCGTCTTCTTCTTCGTCATCGTCATCTTCATAGTAATCGTCCAGTGCATTCCAATCTGTCATGATATTATAACGTTTTGCGTCGGCGACGTAACTAGACAATTTATTGTGGTTGATAGTTTTAAAGCCTGTTTCATTAGTGGAACTTTTCACCAACAAATGTTCTGGTCTGTATGTTTCCCATACTGAACACTCTATGAAGTCCCCAATATTTCCTACTGGGGATCTTCCCGTCCTGGATATTTTCTGTGTGCAGCTGCGATACATGACTGGTGTCCACTCAAGTGAAAAGGCGTCATTTTGAACTCCATCAGGGGAACTTTCCGCTAGCGAAGAATCTGGCTCGAAAAGTTCATGGTTCCTCCAGTTCTGGTTTCTTTCAGATTTCTGTCCCAATACAGTCTCCAGGATTCTTTGAATAATAAATTGCGCAAGCTCATAGTCTTCTCCTTCTCTGTCAGCGTTCGAGGTCGTATAATATTCATTTATTACGGCGAGAAACATGTTCAAAATAATTACGCTGGTACTGCAGAAGAAAGTGAAAAAGAAAAGGCTGCCTATGACGGGATTTGTTTCCTTTAGCTTATCCACTGGGAATGGTTGTCCCAAAAGCATTAGAAACTGAAAGAAAATACCGTCATGCACTTGGGCGAACAAATCCACGTTGGACCCAAAGGCTGTGAACCCTAATAGTGCATGGGCCATTGCTGTTATTAAAAACACCATGAGAAAGGAAGCTATAGGTTTTAACAATCTACGAAGTGTCAATGTAAAAACAATTATTTTTGGATTGAAATAGAAGCATTTCAGAAGACGTAGTGTAGCAATTACGGTAGTTACACAAATAGCCACCTCTTCAAACTCGAACAAAAGTAAGACACGATGGAAGCTGACTGGAAGGTAAGGGTTTTCTTTCAACTGTTCGAAAGTCTTTGTGGCCACCTTGGTCCGCATCCACCGCAGTAACATCGCTGATGATGCCGTGAGTATCTGCAACATATCCAACAAATTCCACATCGACTTGAAATAACAACACCTTTGGCGGCAGAGTTTGATGCACTGGACAACGAAGAAGCAAACAAGAAGAATGCCAAACAACAACACGAACAAAAGATAAGTGCTATGAGCTAAAGAGTTCGTTGCGCTTAAAGGCAAAATTCCATAGCTCTTGAACGTGCCAGCGAATCCAGAAGGAAGGACTTCGAAGTAGTACGTCATCACTGCGAGAAGGTTACTTGGTGGATTATACAATGAGAACTCCACCGGCACAGCTCTGGTCTGACGATCGACCCAGTGGTTTTCTTTCAAGTCGTTGATAATCCTTTTAGCTGTTAGCTTGTTGTAGCCTAAATTAGCTACGTATCCTCCACCACTGTAAACAGCAAAACGACCCCAAGAATTAAAGCCGCCAAACCTTCTGTCTGCATTATATTCCCAATTTTCTGGGCACAGAACTGAGGAACCATTCATCTTTCTTGAGTCAATCCAACTTCCTTTTTCCTCCTTTGTGGGGGAATAGAAGTCGAAACAAGATATGACTATGTTTTGAAACAATTCTTGAACTTCACAAGAATCTGCAAGGAAAAGGAAACGTTTCATTATTTGAACATGACTGTTTCAATATCTTAAATCCCCTCTTTGGTGAGTTTGTGGAGCTTATCCGTACATTGCAAAATCCATCTCAATTTAATTATCTTCTCTGCTCCTTAATTTGTTCCCATTAGAGCATTAAAAGTCGTTCAAGTTTTGATGAGTCTGAATTCTGTACTCATTCAGTTTCGTCATCACTTTTCCAAAAATGGAATTTTCGGACGTGGTGGTTATAATCAAAACCAGTGAAATAGGTTGACTGCAAAATATCAGCAACAAATTCCAATAGAATAAACTCTTTTTTATAGATGATATACTTACTTTCCTTGACTCTTAGCTGCCGCAGACGAGGCATACCGACCAGAATTGATCGCTTATTTCCAATATATTCTGAAACTCTTTCTTCATGTCCATTGTACCAATCGTCAACAAAAGCTGCCGGCAAAAAAATGTTTTCGATCCATTCCCAAAACTGAGTGGCATGGCTAATCTATTTTTTTAAATGTTTAAATATTCATCAGCATACGAGACAAAATATTCAAATAAATCTTAATAAATGGGTGATTCTCTATTTGCAATAACCGCATGTATGATAAAAGCTTCCAGGATCGTCAACAAAGGATTAAAAAGTTGTATAATAATCAAAGAAAAAGACGTACTCTCCAAAACACTTATATTTCATTGATTTGACTTCCTATTCTACGTCAGTATGTTTTAAAATGTCTAGAATTATCACTGTGATAGCCATGGTGCATATCCTTTACATACTTGGGAGAAATGATAAATCTAATAGAAAAGACTTACAATGTAGAAGTAGTCTTTAAGGGTGGATAAGGGTGGTAAAACATGGTGGCGATTTCAGAAAGCAAACTTTAAAAATTAGGCTTTTCTAGGTTCTAGAGAAACTATTGGCTCCTTCGCAAGGGTTGCAAGTTCGTGTTTTAATTATATGCTTACCATCCTTGCGATAATATCGCTATATTTTTGCCTTGCTAACATAAAAGTCAACGCACCTCATAGCGTCCCATATTTTGAGAAAACTGGAAGCTGTGCTCGGTGGCCGTATTTAGTTTGTATCTGTGGTCATTTTTGTCTCCATAACAGACGATCAATAAAAGTGCGAAGAATGTCATTGAAGACAAGAGTTCCTTAAAGTACGCGTACATTTTCCTCTCATTTTTCTTATACTTTCTTGCACTTTCAACATCCATGGATGAAAGATCTACAATACTAGCTAGCTGTTCCCCATTGTGTCCGTTTATTGACTCTGTTTCCTTTCTTATCCTCCGACCATATCCACACCCTGAAGCTACAATGACGGATGCGATAAGTATCTTGATGGGCTGTGAGATTATAACGTCTGCAGACAGCGAAAGCACCACGGATTTTAACCAACGAGCCGACTTCTCTCCTCCCCACATAAGAGAGTAAAACACTGTGAAAAGGGCAGAAGCGATTGCAGTACTTACACAAAGAAACCATGCAATGTAAACACAAAAATGAGGGAGAGTACACAATACTTTTCCCTCACTTTTCACGTAGTTATACCTCCTTCCTTGAGTGTTTATCTTTGGTTTGCTTTTACGAAACAGAAGCACAACTAGCAGACTTGCTGGAAAAACAATCAAGGCACTTTCCAAAGCGATTAAGAACTGACTAGGAGTCATTGAAAAAGGCCCAATCTGTATTCCCCTCTGTGATAGATTCTCTGTTTCATAAAACATGGCGGATGTTACCATTGACAA